GGGTCTAGGCCTTAGGGTTTAGGGGGTTCGGGGTCTAGGCTTTAGGGTTTAGGGGGTTTGGGGTCTAGGCTTTAGGGTTTAGGGGGTTTGGGGTCTAGGCTTTAGGGTTTAGGGGGTTTGGGGTCTAGGCTTTAGGGTTTAAGGGGTTTGGGGTTTAGGCTTTAGGGTTTAAGGGTTTGGGGTCTAGGCTTTAGGGTTTAGGGGTTTTGGGGTCTAGGCTTTAGGGTTTAGGGGGTTTAGGGTTTAGGGGGTTTGGGGTCTAGGCTTTAGGGTTCAGGGGTTTAGGGGCTTAGGGTTTAGGCTTCAAGGACTGTGTTTGGGCTTGGCAGTGGCTAGGGTGTGATTTAGGGGTCTTACGACTTCGAACCGGGTGCTTCCAGTTTATACTGTGGACGGCTGGCCTAAACCCTAAAATCTACCTTCAGTCTCCATGAATGGTAGTTCCTTCTTTGGTTTCTCCAACTATATATGTCGGACCCTTAAGGTAGTTAAGGTAAGCCAAACCAAGGGAACTACAATGGATAATTTGGGACCCTTAAGGTACGCCCAAGACAAGGGAACTACAATGGAGACTTTGCAACCCTTTGGGTAAGCCCAAGAAAAGGGAACTACAATGGGGACGTTGGGACCCTGAAGCCAAGCCCAAAAAAAAGGAACTACCATGGAGAGGTAAGCCCAAAAAAGNNAACTACCATGGAGGCTATAGGTACAGGTGATGAGCTTCGAGGCCTTCGTGTAACGAACGCTGTTGCCAAAGCAAAAGGAGCCCTCGAGACCCTCAGGGCCGACGTGCACGGTCTCCTGCGAATAACGTAGGAGCCTTAATAATTACAAAAAGGGCTTTGGGATATATTATACTATATAATTATAGTAAGGAGCCCGCAGAGTAGTATTGGTAATTATTGGGGATCCTATATTGCATGACGCCTGGTAGGACAACGAAGAACATCCTCATGAAGGGAGTCGATGAAAAGGGAGAGATATGGGAGCATGCATGTGATGCCCCTCGGCGAATCCAAGCAATATACCAACATCAGATATATGCTGGATAAGAAACATGCTGCCGCAAGAGCCGCTTTCTGGTGTCTTTAATCGCCTGATCCTAAACCCCTCACCCCAAACGCAACCGATGCTTGGGCTCACGAACCCACACTTCCTGTTTGCAGCGGCTCCGCTGAAACAGTGGACGATTGGGGTCTTTCTTTCCCCCATCAACCAGGTCGCCTCATGGCGGGGCGTTGTGAAACTCTTAGGCTCTCAGGTTACTTCACACAGCACCGGGTGCTTTAGTCCAACGTAGGGGCCTTAATAATTAGAATAGGGTTGTGGGGCTTATTATTATACTATAATCACAGTAAGGAACCCCCCCAAAAAATAGTATTGGTAATTATTGGGGCCCCCCCTATTACGCTTCGGGCATTTGGGCGATGGGTTGCGTGGGCTGCAGTTGGGCATTTTGGGCTTGACAAGATCGGTTGAACTAGACGTCAGGACACCGTTTTCGGAGGGTTTGGGGCTTCAGGGTGCTTTGAACTTTGGGCCCAAGACGAATGTTTGTCTCTCATGACTGCACTCACCATTGACAGCAGAACCAACTAAATCACTCTGCCAAACTCCGTGTTGCTCCAAGACCCAATTACCACCGAAACTTACCACGGAAGGCATTCCATGATTCCGTTCGTGCAGGCAACTGTAGTGCTGATGCAATTCAGCTGCTATTCTTATACTGTAAAAAGTGCTCCATTCTCCGCTTCCTGCCTTCATCAGATCAAGTTCGCAAACTGTGATACTATTGATTCCCCCAGCATTAAAGTTCTCGTGTTTGTTGGACAAGCTGTATGTACCTGAACAAGACTAGTGGTTATACATAGTTGCTGGGCTAGTTGCTAAGCAGGCAGGACTAATACTGGCGCCACTGCCAACATCCATGCATTTGTGAAGATGATTGTTCCTGGAATACAGTAGCAGGGCAGAGTAACCAGAGTCGCGAAAGCAGCCGCGGTTCTCGTCGCGGTAGGAAAAGCGGCTGTCGTACCCTAAACCCTAAACCCTAAAGCCTAAACCATTGAGTGCTCATGGGAGTATACTCCCCTTAGAAACCCAGGTCACAGTCCAAATCCGGTGCCCCAGAATCCCTAAACCCCACACCCCAAAACCCCTGAAACCTGTTGGGGCTCAGGGCTCAGCGCCTTCCTCTGGTTGCCGGACGAATCGGCAGGCCACTCGGGCTTCCAAAGGGACGACCATGGCTCAAATCCAAGTCTCCCTCACGGAAACCGCAACTTCGGAGCGCCCTAGGCAAACCAAACCCTAAGCCTTTTGGGCTCTGAGATCACTTGAGCCATGTAAACCGCGGCCACCGACACCGGAGGATGCACTGACCAGCAGCCTCGTCTCTTCGTAAGGAAACTAATCTAAGTTAGCCTTAAAGGAGCCCTTAAAGGAACCCTTAAGAGTTCTATAGGAGGTAATTATGTTTAGGGTTTAGAGTTAAGGAAATTAGTTTAAGTTACCATGATAGGGATCTATAGCGAATAATATTAACATGGTTTCTTTATTGTTGGTAAGTTAGATTAAGTCCTTAACAGTTTTAACAACAGCCCAGCAACCGGCACGGAAGCCTACACCCGAAAATCTTAAACCCCAAAGCCTAAACCCTAAACCCCAGAGCCTAAACCCTAAAATCTTAAACCCCTGAACCCTAAAATCCTGAAGCCTAAACCCTAAAATTTCTAACCCCCAAAGCCTAACGCATGCAGCACCTGAATCCGAATCCCTCGACGCCAAGCCTTAAACTCTTCGCAAGGGAAGCCCTGAA